GCATTCTTTTTTTCCACCCTTTACCCTGGCCCCCTCTCCCATCTCTGTGTCTACCCAGCTCTGTGGCTGAGGTTCCCATCTGTAAAGCCTGTTGCCACAGGATACAGAATTCACTGGAGCAGAGAGAAAGCTTCATGTGTGTGTTTAAGGTTGGTGGCTCTTGGAATCAGATAAACATTGTAGAAAGCTTGCTCATTCATGTGGAAGAGCCAGTGTTGCAGCTAAATGATGGAGCTGTGAGCTGCTGGGCTCCAGGCTCTGGCATCTGTGCATTGTGCCTGGTCAGCCTGGAGCATTTTTATTTGTGATACCAAAAGAGCTGATGAGCATTGCCACTTTAGCCATTCAACAATAACAAAACCTTTATTTCAGCCCCTTAGAAGAAAGATTATAGCTCACTTTTTTTCTTTTCTTTTTCTTCTTCTTTTTTTTTGGGGGGGGTATGTGTATGTGCTATGAGTGCTGCGTGTGTATGTGTATGTGTAGACGGGGTCTCGTTGTGTTGCCTAGACTGCTCTCAAACTCCTGGCCTCAAGACATCCTCCAACTTTAGCCTCCAAAAGTGCTGGGATTACAGGCATAAGCCACTGTGCCTAGCCTTTTTTTTTTTTAATTAAATGATGAAATTGGTCAAACAGGAAATCCCATGCAACTTACACACAGTCAAGTACCTCCTATATTATCATAGTCTCTGGTGTTTTTTCTTGATCTCTTTTATATGACCTCTCTTCCCTTCTAAGAAATCTCTGTGATACCCAAGACTTTCACTCCCATATCAGTTTGACAGCCTGTGATTCTGCTCTCCTCCTGGTAACATCAGTCTTGAATGAGCAGCAGTGCAGGCAGATGCCCTGAAGAGTTCTGAATATGGCCTGAGTTTTGAGAAGAGGAAGCTTCTCAGTTCCTGCCATTTGGTTGGCCATGATTTGGCTTCCTAGGCAAGCTCTGTCTTCACCTGAAAACCCTGCTCAGCACTGGGGACAGAGATCTCTTTAGCCATGCAATACCAACTTTTAGAACTAGAGCTAGAACTTGAGAGTTCACTTTGTCACTCTTTCTTGTGCCCCTCCAAGAAATACACATTTCTTTAGAATTGTAAGTGTACTCGCATTTTATAAGCTGAAAGCTCAGAGTACCTTTACCCTTCATGAGCACACCTTGTTGGGGTTATTTGGGTTGTATTTGTTAATCTTTCCTACACTCACAGTTTGCCTATTTTGACAGCCTGCTGGCCTCGGCAATAATAAAGCTTCTGTCGAGGTGAGCAAACAGCTGATGGCTTAGGCGCACAGAGGGGACTCCTATAGTGGCTGTCTGTAATCTGCCAGGCTGGTGGTCAGAGCAGGCAAGAACAAAAGCCAGTCTGTTTGCAGTCAGATTGGAAAATCAATGTGTTAGTTGTATTCTTTTCTCTTTGCCTTTCTCCTGGCAGAAAGGGGGAATGCTCATCCAGCAGTCCACAGAGTCATTCCAGGCAAGTGCCCATTCCAAAGACTCACTCACCTGTCATATTACTACTGGAAGTTGAGAAGTCCTTAAATTTATTTGTCTGAACTGCTTAAAAAGTCACCTACAGGAATTTGTCTCAAACTTGCCATCCAAAATTGAACCTTGCTGGCCCAGTGTTTTGACTTGTTTATATTCCAGATAGCCACTCAAATAAGCTTCTCTTTTTAATGCTCACGGGGGCCTAGAAAGGAGTTCATTTACTGCCTGGGTGGGAAATTCAGGAATTGCCCTTTGGGCAGCACATTTTATGGTATGTGTGTATTTCACTGCTATACCACAATATATTTCTTGTGAGAGTTCATTGAAAATGTCCTAGGCTGGGCACAGTGGCTCATGCCTATAATCCCAGCTCTTTAGGAAGCCAAGGTGGGAGGATCATTTGAGGCCAGGAGTTTGAGACCAGCCTGGACAACATAGCAAGACCCTGTCTACAGAAATAAAGAAGGAGGCAAAGGCAGGAGGATCGCTTGAGTCCAGGAGTTCAAAGCTGCAGAGAGCTGTGATCTTGCAGCTGCACTCCAGGCTGAGTGACAGAGCGAGACCTTATCTCTCAAAATGTTTATAAAATAAAAGAGAAAGAAAATGACCTACACATAATTGGCTCTAGGATTGTTAGGGCTTAGAGAGCAGAGCTTATACCAAGTAGCCTTGTCCCAGGATAGGAGAGGTAGGAGACTTATTAAAGATTTCTCTGAGTCTCTTGACAAATATCTCAAAGGGCTGCTGTGCAGAGATGATGATACTCAATGTGTGAAGTCTTGAGTAACTTTCCCTTCAGGCTTCTAAGAGAGAAAGTCTGTGAAGGAAGGGCTTTTGAGAAGAAAAGACTTTCCTTCTCTTCTGTGTGTTGAAGTTAGCCTTAGAAGCTTAGCAAATGGCTTTAAATGCATTTTAATTTGAGCTTTGAAGGTCTAAAGCTAGGCTCTCATTATCAGTCTTTGTTATTTTTCAAAGCCTAAAAGTGATCTGCTGATCATGAATAAGAGAAAGGTGTTTGGTTAGATATGGTCATGGTGTTCTTATTGTAAAGTTCATTATCAAAGAAAAAGTTACAACTTTAGTGGTCACTGGAAGCATCCTGAGCCAGACGCTTAGATTTAAAATGATTACGTCTAAAATAATCTTGAGTGGAAGTGGTAATTGGCATTTGATATATTTTTTTCCTGAAGTCATTACCCAAAAAATCATATTTTGTTTTGTTTCTTTTTAAAGGAAAAATTGACTAAACCCAACAATTGCTACTACCAAAAAACCCTTTAACCTCCAGCAATCTCTTTTTGTCTTTGGTACTTATCATTGCCCCACCATTTATTATTATTAAATTATGTGTGCATCTTTTTTGTAATGAGACTATAAATGCCCCAAACAGGGAATTTACATGTCTTCATATATACCATAGACATTAACAAAATGATTGATGCATAATCGCATTTAATACCAGTGTTGATTAAAGCTTTTTTTTTTTATTATTAGCTGAAAACCTATGGGCCAAGAATTGTGTCAGTACAGGAATCAGTAGTGAGCAAGTCAGTCTCTGTCTCTTAACCCAGGAACTTATAGGCTAATGAGGAGGCATCACCATCATTGAGGCAGTATACCTGATATTTTACTTGACTTCTTTTCTTTATTTAAACTAATTTTTAATTGGTCATTTCATTTTAAATCTCATATTTTTCAGAGAAACAAGAGTCAAATAGCTAAACTATTGATTTGAAAATGTTGCCTGGGTAACATAGGGAGACCCTGTCTCTACAAAAAATTAGCTGAGTGTAGTGGCATGCACCTATACTCCCAGCTACTTGGGAGGCTGAGGAGGAAGGATTGCTTGAGCCCAGGAGTTAGAGGTTATAGTGAGCTAGGATTGCACCACTGCACTCCAGCTTGGGCCACAGTGAGATCCTGTCTCAAAAAATAAAAAGACAAATATAAAAACAAATGTGAGTGAAAGCATGAAATACTAAAAGGTATATTTTGTTTCATTTCTTAGCAAAGGAACTTATAAGATTGAGGATCTAGGGCCCCTATACAGTGCCTTTCTCTGGCCAGGTCACTCATTCTAAACTTAATTTGACATATTTCTGATTTTTAATAGGCTAATTTGTAGAGAAAAATAGAGTGAGAAAGACATTTTCCAACAAAACCTGAAATATTTAAAAGAATCAGGTGACCTAGAAGACCCTTAATCCATAAAACATCTTCGGATCTTATTTTTGCCAAATCTCTTACCAGAGCACTAATAGATATTCTAAATTAAATACTATTTCTCACTTCCTCTCCTTTTCTTAGCTATTACTTTGGCAGAGAACCTGTTCAGAGGAAACTATCCCAATAGCAGATGGCAGGAAATAACAGGAAACAGACTGAATAATCAGCCTCTAAAAGCCACTACAATTCATCTGTACCCTTGACTCCCAAATATGGCATGGACTCCTTTAGCACTAGGTTTTTGTCTCACCTTTTTCTTTTTAAGAAGAGTTTGATTAATCTCTTAATTTGTGGGGCCCAGCGATTGGCCTGCTTCCTGAATGATTAAGGAAAACATGGGACTTCAGCTAACATGATATAGTATATGAGGGTCCATCCTAATCAAAGTAGATAAATAAAAAGAGGGACTACAGAGCCCTGTCCACCCCATCTCACAGCCCAATCTCTACTCTGAGTCTTGTCACAGACCCCAGGAACTAGGAGCAGCAGCAGCAGCTTCCATCTCAGGTATTAGCAATGTGTGTGAACTCAGGCAAAAGCAGCATTTGGAATTCCTTTCCAAGCACCATTCCTTTGTGGGAATACTATTACTGTATGTAACTCATCCTGGACTGCTTCAGACTTTTAAGACCCTGTGCGGAGCTATAGGAAGGAAGGGATAAACTGACGAGCTGCAGTGGAGCTATGAAGAAGGCAGTGTGGGATTGTGGATCGTGGAGGGCATGAATGTTAAGTTTTACTCAACTTTTATTTCTTGGTTTCCTGTTATTTCTTTTATTTCCTCTGTTTTCCTTTGACTCAGTGAAGAGTGTCCCAGTCTCTCCTAAGAGCTACAAGAAATCCCACTGTTACTCAAAGCTGATTCTCCTCTACAGAGTTGCTGTGCTATCCTATTTTTCATTTTCTTCATCTGTTTTAAACTTCCAAAGTTTCAGCTTAAGCTTCACATCTCTTTTCTAATGAAACATCTGTTTACATAATGCCATGATTCGTATTTTCCCCAAATCATTTTTCATAATTCTGTTAAAATAAGATGTTGAAGCAAGGGGCATAAGGAATACAATTTTGGTAAAATTTTTTTTGTTATTTATTAGTTTGCCTTCTCTTAACGATTTCAGACTTTGTGGTTAATGAGTTTCATTCTCAAGTTTTTGTCAGCTGTTAACTTTTATCAATTTCTGTCACATTACACTCTGTAAATATCTAAGAGAATAACCTGTTGATGGAAGATGTGTTTTGATATATAAGAGTTAACACCAGTTTTCTCTCTTCTTGTGCTTATTTAGATTTCGACACAGCCCCAACAGCTGGTACCTGAGAAACTGGACTGTCCACACCTGGATTAGGCAGTGTCTAAAATACGATGCACAAGACAAAGCCTTATATACCCTTGTAAATAAGGTGAGTGGTTCCGTGGATCTGCAGCCTGTTTTCCTGAGTTTAGATGATATGGTGTTTGTACCTGTTATGGTACAGCAAAGAATAAACCAGAAATAACTTTTAAAAATTATTTGGCCTTAAATATCCTTCTTATTAACAGAATGGGGCTGGGTATAAGTTCATTAATAAATTTTTTTAAAATCCCATAGCTACTGCTTTTCTAAACATAGTGACTCAGAAAAGGACAGGAATAAGCAAAAGGTAGTCTAACCAGAAGAACTCTGCACTGGTGGTTATTTCACTCTTTATTGCTAAGCCTTAGATTTCTTGCCTGTTTCCCTCTGCTGAAGTTTAGGGGAAAAATATGACCATGTTTGCTCCTATGTCTTTTGAGTCCCTGACTCCTCCCGTCAAGCCCGAGAACACTCTAGGATTAGGATCTTTCTGACTTTTACACCACCCAAGAGTTGAGTCTTTCTTACCTTCCTACTGTATACAGTAAATACAAAATAAATAGAAGTTTAGAATGTTATTATTGTGAGTCTGAAGCTAAACACTAGTTTGAACCATAAAGACATTTTAACAGTCTTTTTATGAAAATGTATTATGCCTGTAATGTCACTGGACCTGAGAGTTAGCACTGAAAAGGAATACTGATTTTGTTTTTGAGTCCCCCTTCTGTGCAGAATAGTTTTATTTCCATGACTTTGGCCCAATTTAAGTTTGTTTGTGAGACATTGGTTATTGATAGTGGATACAAAAATGAATAACATTCTGTCCTTGCCCTCAGGAAACTTATAATTTAATAAGGCAGATAAGCAAGATTACTTATAAATTTAATATTAAGCAAATGTAAGTGTCATGCAAGAATATTTGTAAAGGTCAGGGACTGTGGCTCATGCCTATAATCCCAGCACTTTGGGATGCCAAGATGGGAGAATCACATCAGCCCAGGAGTTCAAGACGTATAGTCCCAGCTACTCTAGAGGCTCAAGTAAGAGGATCACTTGAGCCTAGGAGGTCAAGTCTGCATTGAGCTGTGATGAGACCACTGCATTCCAGCCTGGGCGACAGAATGAGACCTCGTCTCAAAAAAAAAAAAAGGTAAAAACAGCTTGGAAGATTAAGATGAGGGAATCTGATTGGAAGGAAATAATTAAAAGAGACATAAGGTCTCTTCCCTCTGACCATTTAAGATGGTCGCCAAAAGATGCATGCTTGCACATGGAGATGGGCTGGCACAAACAGTATTACCAGAGGCATAACTGGGCGAAAACAAATACTCAGTTTGAGCACTAATACATTGCCTTTTTGCCTGGGGTATAATATAAGGTATGTTAAGGGGAAGTGAGGAAGGAAGTAAGAGAGCTAGGTCCCTGGATAATAGATTAAATCTTGTTTTCTTCAGTTTGGAGTATAATGACACAGATTACACTCAAAGATTTCTGTGATAACAGAACTAGGAGGGTCTAGAACAGCAGACCGACACCTGTCTCATTTTTGCTGCTTCTTGAGTCTTTTAGTAGAAAGGACATCAAACTAGAAATCAGAAGATCCAGGCTGTAGCCTCACAGGCTCCACTAGTTGCTGGTAACTTTAGGCAAATAATTGTATTCTTGTAGATCTTACTTTTTTCAACTCTAAGTCAAGGAGGTTGTAGTATATCAATGATTTCTAACTCTGGCTGCCCATTAGGGTCACCCAAGAAGCATTTTAAAAATTGTAGATGTTTGCCTCTGCTACTAAAATTCTAGTTTAATTGATCTGTCTGGGGCCCAGGCATTGGAATTTTAAATTTTTTAAAAATAAGTTTAAATTTTTTGATCAGTTTTGGGTTCACAGTGTAGGGGAGAAAATTTATTTTCTTTCCCTTTTTAGGTTCTTAGTTGAGACGCTCTGCTGGAAACAAAAGTCAGATTAACAAAAGAAAAGCAAAGTTTATTAACACATGCTGTACACATCACACAGGAAAGGCATCAGTTCAAAAGCATTTCTATCTCAAGGCAGTAGTGTAGGGCCTTGCTGAAATAGTATTTCAACCAAGAGCCATAAATCCTATACAGTGACAAGACAAAGAAGGGAAAAGTTCCAGTCTTTAAAGGTGGGAAAATGTGGGAAGATAGTAAAATCTGTTCTCAGATTCCTCTGGTTCCTGCCGGTGCCTTCTCTGGGCTGAGAAGCAAGTGCTGTTCTAGGAAGGAAGAATTTATGTGCTGCCATCGGGCAAATGGAGGCTAAGGAAGAGTGTTCCCCTGCATTTTCAGTGTCTTTGACTGAACATCCTCAATTATTTTGGGGAGAAATATTTTTGTTTCCTTCAACAGCAAAACTAAGTGGAAAGTACAAAGATTTCTACATACTCCCTGCCCCAACACATGCATAGCCTCCCTCATAATCAACATCCTGCCCCAGGGTGGTACATTTGTTACAATTGATGAGTTTACATTGACAAACTCTTGTCTCCCAAAGGCCCTAGTTTACATTAGGGTTCACTCTTGATGTTGTACATCCTATGAGTTTGGACAAATGTATAATGACATGTACCCATCATTGTAGTATCATATAGGATAGTTTGCCCTAAAAATCCTCTGTGCCCTGCCTATTCATCCCTCATTGGTTTTGTTTGTTTGTTTTCTAAAGCTCTCATTTGATTCTCATTTATAGCCTGGGGTGAGAATCACTGACCAGTTGATTTCTAAAATCCGTTTCAGCTTTAATGACTTATCGTCCTAAAATATTTTGTTTTTATCCTGCCTTAGGGATTAATACTGATTTGTATGACTGCTTTGAGAAATATAGACACTGGCCATGAGCTACAACCTATAAAACAGTGGATTTTAGACACACCTGAGACTCCTATATATAACTCCTGGAAACAGTGAATCAGTTCAGCGGTGATTCACAGTCAGGGGTTAGGACTGTATAAAAATCTTCCAAGGGGATATGGATATAATTTGGAAAAATTCCTCAGGTGTTGCTACTGGTTGCAAGAGGGAAGAATGGAGCCCTGTGGGAAATGGTGGTTGACCTTACTGAAGAATTTGAAACAAATAAAAATGCAGCCATAATCTGGATCATTGGTAGTAAAATGAGTATGCATGAAAATCACAGGAAACTCACTAAAATTTCAGGTTTCTGTGCCCAATTCCTAGAGATTCTGATTCTATAGGTCTAAGACATAAGAATTTATCAGCTCCTAGAAAATCAACATTCTGCCATTGCTAAAAGCATCCACATTTTAAGAAATCTGAATTCTCAAATATTGAGTTGTGTGACACAACATTCTAGAAACTTTGGAGTAAATATTTGTTGGCATATTTCTTGGGACATTAAAAGCCAAACTAAGAACCAGAAAATGCTGTGTAATGTCTGCTTTCTCATGAGAGTCCATTTTGGCATTACTATTTATACTTTATAAAAAGAGCCACTGAACCATTTGGGGGCTTATGTGGGTTTCTTTCTTTCTTTTTTTTAAGCTATGATGAGGTGTTAGAATTGGAGCTTTATTTCTTACATATCAATTCTCATATCAGACACCCACTCAAAACTTTCTCACTCTGACCAGCAGTTCCGGTTACCAAACCTCATGAGTCATGGCTTCTATTTCACTGTTACAGATGCTGTAAAATGATAGTCAAATATTTTAAAGCTAATGGTGGCAAGTTTTATTCTGAGTAATACATAGGCATATATTACAGAGTAAATTAGATAATTTTCTCTTTTGTTTCCTCTTATGTTCATTTTCATTATAGGTTCAATATGGAATTTTTCCAGATAACTTTACATTCAATTTACTGATAGATTCCTTCATAAAGAAAGAAAATTACAAAGGTAAGAAACTAAGCCCAGATTCCGTGTGTATTCCAACTCCCAAAGCGAGGTGTACAAATATAAGACCTTCCCCTTTCTTATTCCTTAATAACATCTCTTCATCACTCTTTTAGTCAGAAAAGTTTTAATGATTATCATTTACGCAAAATTTTTAAAAATATTATTCTTTTTATTTTTGCTAAAATAGAAAATATCAAAGTACATAAATGATTATAGAGGAAAAGTAAGTTAATTATACAATCTAATTTCACTTCCCAAACTGACTGAAATCCAGAATATAAATAAAGGATAAAGTACATTTATTTTTCAAGTATAATTTTGGCTTCAGTAATGAACAGTTAGCAGAAATGAGATTTTTTTTTTTTCAACTTAATTTTGAGTCTATGCTCTTTTAAAATATTACTGGTTGGTTTGTTTATGTAAAAGAAAATCCCTTCCAGGTTCTTATTTTTCTATTGACTTACTAGTTGACTACCTGGTCCGCCTGTCTATCTCAGTTTCCCCATTTGCAAAACGAACATAGAAATTCATGCCTGTGGCCTCATTCAGAACCATGACAATATGTGCAGAAACAGCTAGCTAGAAACAGCTGCAAATCAGTGCTATTTTATAGTTATGAATATATGTAGAAATTGGTTAAAAAATAACTTAGTAAGTCAAAAACATTTATTGTGCTTGTGATATGAACAGGCACTGTATTTCAAGTCATTGTTAATATTCTCTACTTTACCACCAAATAACTACAGAAAAGAAACTGTTTGACTTGATTTTCTTGCCCTCCATTTATCTTGTAGAATATCAAGAGAAAATAAAAATTGCAAGCCTGCTCTCCTATGACCAGCATTCATGTGCAAACAAATACATTATCTGTTATACTCAGGGGCTTATAATTTATGAATGAACACTTCCCATTCCCTTCCAACAAGTATTTTAAACTGAGCCTTGTTGTCCTTTTTATAGTCATTATTTTGCTTCCTTTGAAATAATACCTGAGATTTAGGGTTTCCTTTAGTTTTTTGTCCTCTTCTGCCTTAACAGTGAAAAGGTACCAGAGCAGAGAATAGAGCAGTCAGAACAGCCTCTCTGCTCCGCTTGTCAGGGTGACCTTGAGAATATATGTTTCTCCTTTATGCCTTAGCTCTTCTAGCTGATAGGTACGATGCCTTAAACTTGCATCACGGTATGAGCCATTTTCATATGTATTATCTTATTGAACTGTCCAAAATTCTTTTGAAGTAGATAAAGCAAATCGTATTTTATTATTATGAAGATAATACTGGGAGCCAAGAGAAATGAGTGGTTTATTTAATGTCCTTCAGGACACTGGTGCAGTAGCATCTGATCTAGTTCATTGTGGTATGTAAAATAGAAGCTGAAGGGTAAGGAAGAACCTAGTTTGTGGAAGATGTAGGGCCAGAGTCCACGTTATTTTACTTCTTAATTCTGCCTTTTTTTTTTTAACCATGCCCCACTTTTTAAGAGTGTTTATAGTCAAATAGAGATTTGGTAATATTACCTACAACTAATTTTCTCTCATTTTTACTTTCATCTTCTTGCTAGATGCTTTATCTGTGGTTTTTGAGGTCATGATGCAAGAAGCCTTTGAAGTGCCTTCCACCCAACTTCTCTCCCTATATGTTTTGTTTCATTGCCTGGCAAAGAAGACAGACTTCAGCGTAAGTGATCTTCCCGAAAGCAGTCACTAAGAACTTTAGAAAAGGCAAGCAGGGGCTTGCTCTCAAAAGCTAGAAAAAGCTGTCTGCTGGCACAACCAGGAATGAGTGCTCATTCTATACATTTTAGTTACTGGTTTCTAATGAATGGAATTGGTTGTTCTTCCACTTGAGAGAATCTTAAAAGAAAGTCCTTGTGCATATTTTGAAACTTGAGCTAAGCTGAGTGCACCTCAGACATTCAGAAATGGGTCATTGATAATCGTTGAGAGATGGACATGGCATGTCAAAGAGGCAGTGAGGCAGCTAACGTTGACCATTACCTGGGATATTAAATACTGATTATTTCATTTGTATCAGTATTTTCCTAAGGTTGCTCTAGAGCAGTTTCGTTTTGGAAAGTCTGGAATATCAAGTTTTTGGTTTTAAGTCTTAGGTTTGAGTATTTAATCATTGCTTATTGTTGTCCTGAGAATAACAAGAGCAATAACTGATATTTTACGTAGCACTTACTTTACACCAGGCTATGTTCTTGTTATAAATGTATTAACATATTTAATTCTCACAACAACTCTAGGCAGATAAGGAGACTGGGGCCTAGAGATGTTACAGAGTAACCCCATAGCTAGCAGATAACAAAGCCACCTGGTAAAGCCAGGCAGTCTGCCTCTGCCATCTGCCCTTAACCTCAGTTGTAACATCAAAAAATCCCAGTTTGGGTAGGAACTGAAGAGGTCATTTAGTCTAGCCCACATTTTAAAGAGTAGGTGGCATGTTATGCCTTTCTAAGATAAGTGTCATAGTCTTACAGTATACCCCACATTCATTATTAATTCATTATATATACTACATTGAACACATAAAAATTCCCTATTTGGCAAGTGCTAGCTATATAATGGTGAGCAAACATTTCCTACTTACAATCCAGGAAGAACACAGATGTTTAGACAAAACAATCACACAGGTATAAAACTATGACTACCATGAGCACTCCAAAGGAGAAATCTATGAAAAGACTATATCATAGGGAGTTTTGTTTGTATTTTAAACTTAAATTGGCTAGGAAGGGCTTCCTTAAGGAAATACTTCTTAGATTACTATTTGAAAGATGACTGGTAATTAACTGGCTAAGGAGGGAAGAACAGTCCAAAAAGAGGAAATAACCTGGGCAAATGCTCTGTGGCAGAAAACTTAATGAGCAGAAATGGGCTGGAAGAAGATAGTCAATGTAGTTACAACAGAAGATGGTAGGGAGGATGTGGAGTGAGATAGGGTTGGAGAATGTAGGTCATACTAAGCCATTTTGTATTCATGCTAAAAATAGTGAGAAGCCCTTGAAAAGTTTGAAACAGAGGGTATATAATAATCAAATCTGTGTTTTGATAAGGTCCTTCTGGCAGTACTCTGGATAAGCTATTAGAACAGGACAAGGATGGCTATGGTCAGACCATTTGAGAGGCTACCATGAATCTGTACAAGGGATAGTGGTAGCATAGAGAGTAGGATGTGACACAGTTAGAGAGTAGTCAGTGGGCATATTTGGGAGGTAAATAACAAGATGAGGCAGGGAAGCAGGGGTCACATATTCTCTCCTTAGTTTCTGACTTATCCATCTGGATGGAAGGGGTTCCATATGTTGTTTGCAAAAGGGAACTTTGGGAAAAGACGATATTTTGAGAAAAATCATTAATGTGGCTTTGAACATGTTGCATGTTGAAATACATTTGAGACAGTCACAAGATTTCACCAAGGAACTGGGGCTTAATGGAAAGATGGACTGGAGATACAATTTTGGAGACTCATATCCATGAGCAGATGTTTGCAAATGAGCCAGAAAGGAAAAGAAGGTAAATCAGGAATGTGTTGGGCCACAGAATCCACAGGAAGACATGGTCTACTATGTAGAATTCTTCCAAAGAGGTAGGGTAAGATGAGGAATAAAAAAAGTTCATTAGTTCATTGCATTTAGTGGCATGAGAGGCACTAAATTGTAACCTTGTTTCCTTAAAAGTAATGGAGCAGGAAACCAAAGTGGAGTGGTTTGTGGAATGATTTAGAGGTATAGACAGCTCTTTTGGATGTCTAGCTATGAAGTAGAGAGTAAAGAGGGGAAGTTGGGAGAATGAGGATTTGCTTTGTATTAATTGAAGAGACAAAGCATAAAATGGAAAAACTCTGAGGGTGTTGATGAAACTGTACCTGAATTAGTCCATATAGTATCTACAATAGAAATTAAAGACTTGGGCCAGGTGCAGTGGCTCATGCCTGTAGTCTCAGTACTTTGAGAGGCTAAGGCAAGAGAATTGCTTAAGGCCAAAAGTTTGAAACCAGGCTAGGCAACATAGCAAGACCTCATCTCTACAAAAATTGAAAATATAAAAAAGATATTAACCAGGCATAGTGTGGCACATGCCTATAGTCCTAGCTACTCAGGAGGCTGAGGTGGGAAGATCCCTTGATCCCATGAGTTTGAGGTTACAGTCAGCTGTGATCACGCCTCTGCGTTCCAGCCTGGGCAATAGGGCAAGACCCTGTCTCCAAAGAAATAAAATAGAAAAGAAACTAAAGGCTTGGAAGAGATCTATTATTTTATGTTAACACATGAATAGCTTCATATAAGCAGCAGAAGTTGCAATATGCCCAGACAATGATCAGAAAATTTCTAATCAGTCATCTGTTTGTTTTCATTCATCTTTTTTGAAGTCCTTTAGAAGTATCACCACCCTTGCTGGACTCCTAACACATCAGTTATCTATTGCTTAGATATTGTAGTATTCATTTGGCTTTAACCCCTACTACATCCTGATACTGTTGCTCATGTTTTTCTCTATGAGGGGGAAATCATGTTTTTAAGCCTCCTTATTTATTATTCATGGGCCCCATTTTTCGTGCAGTTTTAGGTGGGGAGAATCAAACTTCTTAGAGTGATTTGCTTTTGAAAGTAAAATGACCTGGTTTTTAATTACCAGCTCTTTTATTTACCTGTGTTGCAGAAATGCTTGTGGGGGAGTTTTGTTTTTTCCCCGAGATCTTTGCTTTTCTCAAAGATTGGGGAACAACCTCAAGAAATGACACTCGTATTGCACAAAGGCTGTTCACAGTAAAGATGTTTGGGTGCCTATTAACACCTGGGGTGCCTCACTTGCACGTGGCTGCACCTGCAGGCTGCAGACATTATTCATTCTCTGTTCTCCCTAACCTCTGGGTACAGAAACCAGTGCAGGGCAACCTGAGCTTAGTGTTCTATGTTTTGAAGCCAGAGTTAAGGCTCCAGCCCTGGTCAGTGTATACTCAGGTGGGACCAAGAAGATCACAGATCCCACTGGGGAGTTGCCAAGGCTCTCCCCTGGCCACATTGCCAGCAAGTCCTCTAGTCATTGTTGTTACTAGTCTGCAGCAAGTTTAGCAATGCTTGTATTTTTGTCCTTTGTTTCCCCGCTGTCTCAAAAGGCTTCGATTTTATTGAAACGTAATTTTGCACCCTGGGTTGAAAGAAACGATAACTAAGTGTTTCTGATTGCCTAATTTGTTTTTGAGAGGCACCAATCTATCTAAAAGCAACTTAATAGTGGTATTTATTCTAACACTCTGAAGAGGTCTTATCATTGCTGAATTGTTTAAAATTCAAAAGCTTGCTCCATCAGGCCACAGCAGTGTGAGTGACTATGGGGCCGACAGCATGTTGAATCTTTATTGATTGTCTCAAGTGACTGTTGGTTTAAGGTGTACTCTTTATTTTTGTTCTGTTTTGCTTTTCTGACTGTAAAAGAAATGCTTATTCATTGCCAAATTTTTGGAAAATAATAAAAGATGCAGAAAAGAAAACCAAAATTGCTCATAATTTCACTACCCAAAAATCCATTAACATCTAGAGTATTCTTTTCCTATATTTTTCTTTCGACATAAGTACCTTTTATTTACAAAATTAGGATTATAATGTATATATAGCTTTGTTCTTCTTTGTTTACTTAATGTTATAACATGTTCTTTTCCTCATGTCATTAAAAGTCCCATTTTTGTATAAAGTATTCATTGCTTGGAAGGACCATGATCCAGTATATTCTGTTGCAGTGGGAAGAGGAGAGGAACTTCGGTGCATCCCTATTGCTTCCAGGTCTGAAACAGAAAAACTCAGTGGGTTTCAGTTCCCAGTTATATGGCTATGCACTTCTTGGTAAGCTAAATGATCCTTACAAATATTGTTCTTCAGCAGAATTGTTGCATTCTTCTAGTTCATAACAAAATTATAATTTGATTCAAGTTTACCAGTGAAATCCAATTAGCCTTCATTTTTAGACATAAAAATAGATCTTGACGGCCTTACAGTTACTGCATAAGAGAGTAAAAAGGATTCTTAAAATCTGTCACCACTGGTAAAGCAAGAACTAGTTCTGGTGGCCATAGATAATAATATTTAGTGGCAATCAGTGTGAAGAACGGATAAAGAAAGGGACGTTCTAACCCTGTTTAGGGAAGAGAAACTGAGAGCACAAGTAGAGCACTTCAGGAAAAGCAGAATAGCTCATGGGTACCGTGTAACTGCACCAGGAGGTACGATGGTGGCTTTCCTTTTGTGCCCTGATTCCACTGAAAATCAGACAGGTTAAGAGGACAAAGCCTCCCGAAGAGTGACCTCAGAACCTGGGTTGTATGGAATCTGGGCAAATAAGATTCAACATAGGCCAGGCGTACTGGCTTACGAGGTCAGGAATTCGAGACCAGCCTGGCCAACATAGCAAAACCCTGTCTTTACTAAAAATACAAAAATCATCTGGGCATGGTGGTGCGTGCCTGTAGTCCCAGCCACTCGGGAGGCTGAGGCAGGAGAATCGCTTGCACCCAGGAGAAGGAGGTTGTGGTGAGCCGAGTTTACACCACTGCACTCCAGCCTGGGCAACACAGCAAGACTCTGTCTCAAAAAAAAAAAAAGATTCAACCTAAATGTACATAAAATGTGCTTATTTACAGAAGGCTTATTAAATGTATATTATTTTATTACTCTCCCATCATCTCTTAAGTAATTAGGCATCTCACAATTATACATTGGTTCTGCTACCTTTGTTTTTTGAAAATCACAAAGTTATGGCAATTTGACTGCTTTTGAAGTTGATGTTATTGACTGTCTATCAGATTAACAAAGGAGTTGACCACTCTTTTTAAAAATCATTTTTTCCTTATTTGCCACCTCCTTTTAATATTGATTTACATGCATTTTCCTTTGCTTTCAGATTAGCATTTAGGACTGTCATACAGCCTGGATTGGTCAGAAGTTGAGAGGGCAAAGAAAATGTACTTTGTGGTTGTTTGTGAGCAGAGGCTCTGGTTCTTTGTGATGGCAACCATCAGATCAGAAGCTCTTTGCTCTCATTGTGTCATATGCTGTGCAGCCTCACTCAACCCTGATGGAAGCAGCTGCCCAGAATGTAACTGCAGTCCAGCCCCAAGCACCTTAAAGGTCTAAAATTAGCTGTCGCCTGATAAGCTTTGTCTGTTTGTGTCTTACTCTGGCTTTCCCCAATCCTCCTTCCCAGGAAAGATAAAAGAAGGTGGATTTAAGACTGGGCAGCTCAAGGTGACTTTGGTCATTAGTGCAGAGACCAAATTCCTACACCACAGGAATACAGACAGCCATCTCCCTACTAGAAGACCCTGCTGTCTGGTGTCCACATCTTGAACTCCAGGTGTGATGGCTTGAGGTAGCCAGAGAAGTGTTCATGTCCAGAGATCTGAAGGGATCATGAGAACTCTGTGATTTTAAAACTGATGAAACTCAAAGGAAAGAAGGGAAAGATGAGGTTTTTTTATACTGACAGTAGATTGGGTGTTTTGAAGGATTTCAAAAAATGTCAAACATTTCTTAGCAGGGAAGGTTGTCAGAGGTTGACAAGATTTTCACAGTAGGAATGTTATGGGATTTCTTTTTCTGGGGAAGATTTTGTTTTTAAAACAAAAATTGTATCTCAGTTGACTTGCTTTTTAAGGGTGTCCTTACCTAAAGGCATATATGTCAGCTTCTCAATTGCCCTCAGCCCAGTGGTTTATACATCTTCATGAAAATCTCCACCAGCCCAAATGAGAAAGAAGAAAAACAAGTTCATCTAATTTTATATTAAAAAATGGATACGGTGAAATTTTACTCACATTCTTCATTATACATCTGAAATGTCACTGGATGAGATGAGTCTCTTGGCACAGATTAGAAGTGACCCTTCTCTGCTTCTAGAGCTGCCAGGTGAACATTCACTTGGGCCTTCAGGTCCTCAGTCCTAGAAATGGTAGGAAGACATGGCTAAACATTCTTTGTTGTTCATTCTGGCCACAGGGAAGGTGGAATTGCAGCAAGGGCTACGAGCTGTGTACCACAACATGCCTCTGATATGGAAGCCAGGCTACCTTGACAGAGCCCTTCAAGTGATGGAGAAAGTAGCTGCCTCTCCGGAAGACATAAAGCTGTGTAGAGAAGCGGTATGTTCCTCAGACTAATACAGTGAGATTTAGCCATCTGAACTTTGAATTTACCCATAACCTGAACTTTGAATTTGTTTTGTCTTTCCCCTACCCCCACTTTCTTTATTTCTACAAAGTAGATACTTATCCAGTTGAAAAAATGAAAAACCACAGACATTTTCAATGCTCCTGACCAAAGGCACTAGAAAATAGGATTAACATTGATTTATAGTTCATCGTCTAGGGAAAAAACTATTCCACTGCCTCATCCCTCACCTCTCACCCAAAAACATCTCAGTGGGAACTCAAGAGAGGGTAAAATTTCATTTTAAATATGTTTGGTGTTTCTGTACCCCATGTAGTCCCGAGAGGGTACATAGCATTTTTCTCCATAAAAGTCCTCAAGAAATGAATCTGGGACCAGAGATGGAACCATCTTAAACCATTCTGTGTGAATGTGTGATGCTGATGAGATCTGGGTCAGATATTTCTTTCAAAGTTCTAAGGTATTCACTTTACCAGGACAAGAACACTACCCTCCCACCAGCCCCAAAGGTCGTGACCTCTTGGTCACCTAGGACCCTTGACAATATGGGGTTGCTTGAACTCCAGGAGACATGACAAGCCTTACATCCCACAGACGGCTGCAGTGTCTGCTCCTGTCCAAGCAGCCAGTATGAGGCCTAGAAGGACATTGGTTGTCTTGTTACCATGGTGTAAAGGTTACCATAGAGCCACATATTTGTTTTGTCTTGACTCTGGTTACTAGGGCTTACCCCAAGGCTTTCATTTCAGTCCCGAGATGGTCAGGTCTGGTGTCTGTACTGTCACCTTATACTTATGTCTAGTGAATCATTATGCTGGTAACCAGACATTTATAACAAAGGATAAAGGATGTACATTTCTCAATATACTTGTTTTAACGCTGCTGTAGTCAGTACTGGTGATTGAAAACACAAAATATACGTAAATCCTTTTCCAGGGAAATATTCCTTCCAATCTGAGCCAGATTTGCATTCTTTGCATTCAAACAGTAGAAAATGAGTTCACATGTCAGCAAGAGTGTGCTATGTGTCCAGTTTGGCTGTAATATATTAGTGGTATTAAAAGGCCTTGGCATATTTTCAGGATTTCTGTTCTGATGTGACATGGACAGGATTAACTGGTTTCCAGGCAGGTGTTTATGCTGGCCTTACTGTTGCTAATATCCCATTTCTGATGATTAGGCCCTCCGTGGGTCAAGGGAGGTGTGCCTCAAAGTGAAAGTGGAGGGGAGAGGGGTCAGAACAAAAGGAAACCCTCCATTTTTAAATTTACTTCCTAAGTCACAGAAATTACCTCACTCAAATGAATTTCATATATGGATCTCTGGTCTTTGCCAGCAGCTTATGTGGATTACACTGATCCTTAATTTACATATACTGTGTGAGCTAAAGTCTTTCTCTGAGTGGGGGCCCTTGCTTATTTCCAAAGGCTTTAACATACACTTAAAACGTCCTTTGGTTGGTTGTGGTCTGTAATGATCTATCCCTTTGTCCCAAATCCAAACTGATTGAGGAAGAAAGACATGGAAGAGGGAAGTACTTTATCCCATCAAGCATAATTCCTGGATTCCTACCTGGCTAACTAAAAGTGAACTTAGCTGCCATTGTGCTGATTCACTTACACAAATAATTCTTAGCTCACTTATTTGGTGTTTTGTTCTTGCTTGGTCTTTGAGACAGGGCCTCCCTGTGTCACCCAGGCTGGAGTGCAGTGGTGTGATCATGGCTCACTATAGCCTCAGCCTCCAGGCTCAAGCAGTCTTCCCACTTCAGCCTCCTGAGTAGCTGAGACCACAGGGCTGCACCACCATGCTTGGCTTTTTTTTTTTTTTTCAGTGACACAATCTTTCTCTGTTGCCCAGGCTGGTCTCAAACTCCTGGGCTCAAGCAGTCCTTCCACATCATCCTTCCAAAATACTGAGATTACAGGCATGAGCCACCATACCCAACCTAGCTTGCTTATTTATACTATCGTTTTATACTATTTTTGATGCCATCTGATAGGGTGTTTATAATGTGAAAAAATATAACCGTTTATATTTCCTACAGTTTTATAAGAGCAATCTTCTCACAGTTTTTTAGAGCTCATTCTTCCTTTCGCCTTCTCCAGTCTCTCTTCACCATGTGCTTTTGGGCCATAAGACATGTAGTTGCTGACCCGCTTTCTGCTCCACAGCTCGATGTGCTGGATGCTGTGCTAAAGGCTCTGACTTCTCCAGCTGATGGGGCTTCAGAGGAACAGTCCCAAAAAGGTGAAGACAACCAGGAGTCAGAAAAACTGGTGGAGCAGTTAGACATTGAGGAAACAGAACAGTCCAAACTTCCTCAATACCTGGAACGATTTAAGGTGAGTCATAGCAGAATTGTGTCTCCTCAGCAGTGTGTAAAACACACTCCTCTCGTGTGGTGATGGACAAGCATTCTTTTCGTGCATCAATGTCACACACAAAGAGGCATTAGAAACTGACATCAAAAATTACATTTTTATTGCTTTGCACAGGAAGTGGTCTTAAAAGAAACCAGTGGAATTTTTATGCTCGTTTTTGTACTTGAGTGAATCAGTCACAGTTTTGTTCACTAAAGTAGCATTTCATTACGCACTCATTCCTGATATGCTGCACCTGTTGGCTGGATAGTTGCTTGCCTCCTCATAGCAATAACCTGACTCCCACCCCAGGTGGAAAGTGGCCATTTCTCCATCTTGCACTAAATGTGCTTGATAACCTAGAAACCCAGTTAGACATTATAATGCCACATTTGAATATGTAGAGGTAAGACGCAGGCATCTTTCTCTGCTCATCTTTGGCAGCTTTATGTTGTTCCCTTATACTGCATGGAAGCTGTAAACAGTTTGACTCTTTCTTTCCAGAACAGCCCTGAGCACTGAAGCCACCTTTGGTAGCTTCTTACTCTGTACATCCCGAGATGCTCTGCGATCAGTGTCAGGAAAGAACCATGTTCAACGTTTGAATGCTTGGCTTCTTAGCTGCTTTGATTTTTGTCTAGTGCAAAGGGGAAAAAATGTGCTGCCAGAATGGGAATTCTTTATACAGAGCAAAAAACATTCCCTTTTGTTGTGTGTGACTTGTTATGTTACTTTGGTACTGATAAGATGTAAACTTTGCTAGATTATTGTGTTTAAATCTTTTCAGTAGTTAGACTGGACCTATTTCCCAGTGTTGGAAGGGGGATCCTGCTGTATTTTTAGCAGCAGTTTCTCCACGTACTTCTATAAAGTCATTGCTCAACTTCCCTCTTACTTGAAACTGGCAGTATAGTTGGGCTGAGAATTTGCATGCCTTCCCCTTCAAGCTATTTGCTTAACCTTGTTTATTTGGAAAAGCCAAAGAAAAAAAATCTACTTAGCCCATATACTATGATTTATTGCATTCACATTGACCAAGGTTGCCACACCATTCCTAAAAATTAAAACGTCCTTCTGTTTCTTACATACTTTGCCTCAGAGAATAGAAACCTGTGCCTGCATTAAGTTCTCAGCCCTATTCCTCTACAAATGCATTTTTATGAAAATAAAAAAAAAAAAGACAAATGTTTATCAATTCCTAACTGTGTGTCGGGCACCAGTGCATTTTATTTCTCTCAAGAGCTCTGGATACTAGAGACTGCTTTCTCATGTTAGATGACAGCAAAGCCGAGAAAAACTAGCCCATAGTGACTGACTTTATATTTGAACAAAAGTTTGCTGACTCACAGTTGAGTCCTCATTCTGGTGTCCCAAGCTGTCTTGTTGGCTTCAAACCACATGGAGAGCAATATCAGAGAGAAATCAATTTCGTTTTACATTTCCTTTTCTTCCCGTTGCCTGAATTTTATTAGTCTGAGGCCATTTTTGGGGAGCCATTTTTATATGACTGACTCTCACACTAGGCCTCTGGCCCCTTCTGGAGCCTAGGCACCCTGCCCACCCCCAGCCCTGTTACTGGAGCAAGCCTCCTCCCCTGTGCCAATGAGTGACATTTGTTTGTGGAACATGAGGATGTGTGGTATAAGCTACAGCTGGGCCCATAAGTGGCTCTCTCATGAGAGAGTGCATCTTGAAGTACTTAAATAGATTAATGTTTTAATACTTACTTCTCCAGGAACAGAACAACCAAACCAAGCTGCCATTTCGATAAAGCTGTAAGCAGGCAGTATGTAAAGGCTGACCTGCACTGGAGCACAGCAGGTGGACGCCGCTAACAGTGCAGGCACTCAGGGCAGCTGTTCCTTGAACTGATTTCCATCTATTGAGAGGAACGCCAGGAAGGCAAATATTTGTTTCAGTTATTCTGAAGGCACAGGTACGGATGGGCTTGCTCCAGTTACCAGATGCCTCTGCCGTTTCGTTGCATATTAGAATTCTTATTCTTAGAGTTTGCTGCTTGGTTTGGTTTAGGTCAGGGTGGAAACATAGGTTTGTTACAGCCTGACTGTCTTTGTGGTTTAAAACACAGGGAGACACAGCATGTGGAGTTCCATTTACTATTTGTGAGTGAAAGGGGAGAAATCACGTGTGTTGCATCTTAGCAAAATTCCTGAGCTGAAAAACATAGCAAAAGCTAATAATAGCACCTAGAAGAAAGGCAACATGACAATTCCTAACAAAATGGTTTTTTTCTACAAGCAAAACATGTAGATATTTTGCAGGTGGCTTCATCTTTCCTCTTTGTACCCTCCTCTCACTTCTCTACCTTTCTCTTCTTTTTTCCCCTTTGTTTCCAACAGGCCTTACATTCGAAGCTTCAGGCTCTGGGCAAAATTGAGTCAGAAAGTCTTTTAAGTGTGACCACGCAGCTTGTGAAGGAAAAACTCTCCACCTGTGAAGCAGAGGACATCGCCACCTATGAGCAGCAACTGCAGCGGTGGCATCTAGACCGTGTACACTTGATCCAGAGAGAGCAAGAACAGAGGGAGAAAGCAAAACAGGAGTTCCAGGCTCGGAAAGCAGCAAAGGCATCTGCCTAAGAGGGTCCCCCAGGGCCCAACCCCTCCCACAGAACTTCACTCGACCCCATGCCAGGACTCAGCAGTGGCCTGCACAGCAGCCTCAGCTTCCTCTACCCACCTTCTCCTTTTCTTAAAGCAGGCTATGTGCTCTACATGGCAAGGCACCATGACTCCCCACTGAGATGCCAAGAAGGGTACTGTGGAATGAGGCAGGTGGCTCGTGGTCAGACTGAAGTCACCGACCAAATACTTTTAGGAGGGCTCTTGAGGTTCATGATGGAGTTCCTGGGGCACAGGGATTAGTTTTGAGCATTAAAGTTCCTAAGACCCAGTGAAGGTACTGGGAGAAACCAAGGCTAAAGAGTCAGGTCTAAAGCACAGGCTTTTGTTTTTGGGGTTTTTGTTTTTTGAGACGGAGTCTTGCTCTGTCACTCAGGCTAGAGTGCCGTGGTGCAATCTCGGCTTACTGCAGCCTTCGACTCCCGGGTTAAAGCAATTCTCCTGCCTCAGCCTCCTGAGTAGGTGGGATTACAGGTGTGTGCCACCACAGCCAGCTAATTTTTTTATTTTTAGCAGAGATGGAGTTTCACCATGGTCTCAAACTCCTGACCTCAAGTGATCTGCCCGCCTCGGCCTCCCAAAGTGCTGGGATTACAAGCGTGAGCCACTGTACCCAGCCAAACACAGGCTGTTGAATAGTCTCCCTCTCCCCAGCCCAGGCACATGAGGCCAAGGTGAACTGTGCATCCTGAGACCTTGTGTCCCTGGAGTCTTCTTTCTGCCACATCTCGCCCTTCTGGACCTGCACTGGGGAAATTCAGGACAGGAGTGAACTCAAGGCCATGAACCAAGTGGATTTCAATTTTTAGGCCCCCACAGGGACATTTTTAGGATGTAAGAGTTTGAGCAGAGAGTCGGCTCTAGCATGAAGCCTTTTTAGCTTGCCTTTGCCATCGTGTTGGGGTAACTTTTTTTTCCCAACTTATTTTTTCCAAAACATTGTCTCAACTCCTTTATCAACTAGGTAAAAATGAGCCTTTTGTGTACACACAGGCACATGTGCACACATACAGCTTGTGAACACACATTTACACATTTCTGTTAAAGAAGTTAGAAAGTGAGAGATGGAACTTGAAGTGCATAGAAGGTATGAATATTGTAAAACTGTCAGGAGACGGAAAATGCCTTTTTGAGGTTTCTTCTGTGAAAGGGTTCAGGGCAGATTTTGCTTACTGCGTAGCGTTGCTTTTAGGTATAGTGGTATAATTTTATTCAAGATTGTGCCCTTTGATGAAAAACCTCTGGAAATAAATGTTCTGGGATTATGTTGGTGGATTCTTTATCTTTAGGGGAAGGGAGGAAGGAGAGAGGGACTCATCAGTATTGTTACTAAGATTTTGAGGAGTATGTTTTCAACCCTCCTCCATTAGACTGTGGGATTTATTATAATAATGGTAGCTACCACCACTAATATTTATTAAGGTCTTAACTGTAGGCCAAAAACCCAAGCAGCCCTATGAGGGAGGTAGCAGTGTCCCTATTTTATATAACTAAGCAACTCTCCTGCTGCTCATCTCACTGCCTGTGGCCTCTGTGTAGAGCTGCAGTCAGGAGCCAACACAGGGCCCTTTAGGCAGCAAAGCTGCAGAGTCTTAGGCAGAGGGCTGTGACCAAAAGTCAGTACCGACGTTTTGGTTTACCAACGGGGGCTTTTTCAGCCACTCCCTCATGACATTCAAGACAAATCAAAAGGCAACTTTTGCTCAGTAATGACTGTCACAACATGAAATATCTGGTTAAGGCTTTGGCTCATCATTTTGCCTTCATTTTTCCTCCCCCTCCAGCCCCAACGTTTACTCCCAGACTTTACCAAAAGAGACCTCTTCTGCACTGTACTGTGGTCACACAGGAATTCCCATGTTCCCTGCTCCTTAGGATTCCTTCCACACTTGTGCCCCATTTCTGAGGACTCTTAGAGTCTTTCCCCTCCAAATCTTCTGCCCTTTCCCCGTGTCCTTATCTCCTGAGCTATAGGATATTATCTCACCTTTCTTCACAACTAGCACTTCCCAATACAGTTGTCCTTTGTCCCCTTCCCTCACGTCATCTTCCATATTCTTCCATGCGGCCTCTGCAGCTGACCTGCTGTAGTCACAGGCAAACCTCCAGCCTCATGTCATGAATCCAAGATCTTAGACCCTGAAGTCCCCACTCTCTCGATCTTGTCTCGTACCATGACTGCTGCTGAACCAGCTTGCCCTGTAACTTCCTTCCTGTTAACCCTTTACCCTATCCCTCCAACTCTTGATCTCCAGAATTTGCTTCTCCCAGTGTAGGCCCCATGGTCAGTCACTCCCCTGATGTTCTCATTAGCAGCTTCATTTTCTCTCACTCCCTTTATCCACGCTCACTTATCAGCCTTGGACCTACACCCTTGCACCCATCTGCTACAGGTAGAACTGTGTTTCCTAAAAAAGGTAAATTGTATCCCTAATCCCCAGTCCCTTAGAATCTGACCTTAGTTGGAAATAAGTTCTTTTATTGAGGTAATCAAATTTAAAATGAGATCATCAGGGTCAGTCTGATTTAACTTGGTGGTTTTTTTTTTTTAAAAGGGAAGTTTGCACACACAGACACAGAGGGAAGGAAGATGAGCCTGTGACTCTACAGGCCAAGGTATGCCAAGGCTTGCCAGCAAACACCGGAAGTTAGAAGTGGTAAGGACGATTCTCCCCTAGAGCCATCAGAGAAGGCTTGGTCCTGCAGACACCATCATTTCTGAGTTCTTGCCTTCAGAACTGTTATTTTAAGCCAAACTTTTTTGGTAGTTTGCTATCTCGGCCCTAGGAAACTGATAACACCACCATTCATTTTCTGTTTGATTCTGACTTACTAAGTGTTGATATATAAAGTCATAATATTTGGCTGATTAGATTCTTCTACAGAATTAAGGCTGTTCTCTTCAACTCAGTAGTCCTTCCTTTAATTGACTTTTATTTTTACTTCCATAGCTTTTATATTCTACATTAGCTTGAAGCCCTGCCCTCAGAACTACAAGCAGATGTTCTCTCCATCATCCTTCCTACTTTCAAATAATAGGTATCCCCACCTCCTTTCCAAGACTCTTCATTTGTGACCTTAGCCCATACCTGCCCACCTGTTCTACACCCTTGTAGCATCTCTGTTGATTTCTTCTTCTAAGTCTACAGTCTTATTCAAGACCTTATTCAAGGCTTTTTAACAACAAAAAGGCATTTACCCTGCCATCAGTCAAGCTGTTATGCTATGTCTTCTTCTTTACGTCTCCAAACTTCTTGAAAGGGTGTCTACACTTACTGGCTCATTGCTCAGCTTCACCACGCTGCTACACAGCATGATCGTCAACTACAGTGATATTTTTCCCCCCCTTTTAAATGCTCTGCTCCATTTGGTGCCACTGACCACCCCTTAGAAGCTTGCTGTCTGTAGCAGCCATACTGTTTGTTCCAGCACTGCTTTTGCAAGCTCTCAAGTGTTTGGCATATACTCTGTACAAAGCACTATACTAAGTGCTATGGAGTTTACCAGGATGAATAAACTGTAGATTCCACCCTTAAGTAACTTAGATTCTAGTGAGGCTAGCACATTCACACCTGTCAACACAGAGCTGAAAGGTGTCGTCATACAAACAGTTAATGCATGTGGGAGTTCACAGGAAGATCACTTTAAGCCCAGAGATGGGAAGAGCTCTAATGAAGGGAAGTAATTGCCTGCTTTGTGCATTAATTAGTTACATATGAGTGCCTCAAGCTGCCCTGGGGTCCTCTTTTTTACAGAGGCTTATGCAGTGTATTCATGAGAAAATATTTTAAATTAAGCAAAAATGAACAATTCAGATTAAACTTGTTTTGGCCCACATCCCATACTTACCTTGGCCATAAAAAGGAAGAAAAAGGCAAAGTGGTAAAAAGAAGAGAGGAAAGAAAAATGATGAGGTACTATCCTCCCCTTGGGTTGCCTTGGCACCCGACCTTGGTTTTTGTTTTCCAACCTTCTTGTTGGCTGTGGAATCAGACAGGTGTGTGAGAAGATTGGTTTAGATTCTACAAGACGTAGTCAGAGGCCTTGAAAGTAAGTTGATATGCCAGACACAGTGGCTCACGTCCGTAATCCCAGTACTTTGGGAGGCCAGGCAGAAGGATTGCTTGAGGTCAGGAGTTCGAGACCAGCCTGGCTAACATAGCAAAACCCCATCTCTACTAAAAATACAAAAATTAGCTGGGCATAGTGGTGGGCACCTGTAATCCCAGCTACTCGGGAGGCTGAGGCAGGAGAATCCATTGAAAAGGAGGCGGAGTTTGCGGTGAGCTGAGATTGAGCCACTGCACTCCAGTCTGGGCAACAGCAAGACTCCAAAAAAGTTGATTAAAACCTTTTTGTCACACTGAAAACAATTAGCTTTGACATTCTTTGTTGTCTTTGCGTGTCTTCCCTGGAAATATACTGCAGCATTCTGTTTTTCTCTTTTTGCTGCAGCTTATCTGATGACCTTTGGGAAACCCTCTTTTTTTAACCACTGAGGAGAGGAAAAAATAGCAGCTGTGGTGGAAGAAAGAACTTAGAATTAGGTATGAAAAACATTTCTAGAAGCTCATTGTGTCCCTTAGGCCCCCCAGGAAGCAGATCAGCATCAGAGTCAGAAGTAGCAGTGAAAGCAGTTTTGAGGGGGATAAAGCCTGTGAAAAATGAATGGAGGTGGAATTAGGATTGGGTGGGGAAAGCCTTCAGGTGGAGGTCTTACATCTGCAAAAGGAAAGAGAGGAGGAAGCGCCATCGCCTAGCCTCTGTTGCTTGGGAAGCAGGGAGACTTTCAACATCCATCATCCCTATTGCCAGCAACACGGAGCACAACCTCCTTTGCTCTGGTGAGTCCTAGTCTACTACCAAACCTGGAGACGCAGGGGCCTGCTCACCAGTGCCGTCTCCCAGTACATTCCCGATGGCCTTGACAAGTGGTGTGCTACCTGGCCCTCCAGAGAATGTAGTCCTCTGCTGGGTCTTCTGGCTTCCTGTGATATATGTATCCACTCTGGAAGCCTGCCCTGAGACTTTTCTTCCTGGGTCTGCCAGGCGAATTGGGGTGTTTCAGTGTTTCTCAGTTCAGGCTATCCCTTTCTCCAGGCTTTTTTTATGAGCCATCATCACAGCAAGTCTGCAACACCCCCTGGAGTGTTAAATCCCTTAAGCATTTTATGGATTCTGAATTGATTATTTAGAACTAATTGGTGAAATTGGCCCCAGACTTTAAACACCGTGAAGGCAGGCATTCTGTGTATCTTGTTCATGGTTGTGGCCCAACACAGAGAACAGGCATTACCATGAGGAGGGGGCTTATAAACATTTATTGAATGAACTTTTTTTTATTAGGTTGAAAGGAAGGTCTTCCAACTGAGGTATAATTCCCAGCAAGAAATACTGAGATGCTAGAAGCCATATGTCCTAAGCTGAGGGTTTAATGCCAATGAAAGACTGTTTGGATTCCTACAACGTATAATGTAAGCCAAAATTGACACTAGGAGGAAGGTTCATGGGAAAAAAAATAGGGGTGAGAATGGAATTCTCTCTACATATCTGTATCCCACTTAACCTGCCACAAAGCAGGGAGTTAGGAAATGATGAAGCTATAACATAAATCTTATCATTTCTAGACCAATAATAAAAGCCAATATTTATTGATCACTTATAACCATGTGCCATATTAAATTTTTGTATGCATGATCTAATTTAACCCGCAAGAATATGACCATTATTACAGCTTTTCTTATATACAAAATAACAAAGACTTAAAGAAGTGATTAAATCCCAGGTTTTCCTCTGTGAACTGGAGAGCCAGGGTCAAACCCATATCTTGACTCCTAAGGTGTACTCCCAAACTTGGAAGATTACTGTCTTCGTTAAGTTCCCCCTACAGCAAAACAGGAGACAGAAATTTGAATGCAATTACATTAGTTAGAGATGATCTTACGAAAGCAGGTGAGGAAGGAAGAAATTGAGACAGGGAAGGAAGGAGAGCCAGTGAAGGATGCATCATTGAGTAGATTGTGGGGACCTGCTCATTCCTGCTGTGAACCATCTGAGAGTGTAGAGAGCACACCTCAGCAGTTTCCTCTGAGAGGCAAGGAAGCTAGCTAGGTATTTGCCCGTTCAGTCCATTCCCTCATTGGTTGGGAGCACTCCAGCCTACTCCTGGTGCAGCACCATCACACTCCCATGACCAGGAAACACCTTCAGGCAGAGACCAGGAAGAACTTAGATTCTAGTGAGGCTGTCACATTCGCACCTGTTACGACACAGTTTAAAGGCATCATTAGAGAAACACCATCCACTGGTGGAGAACTGCAGTGGTCCTCGACCCAGAGTGATTTTGTTTCCAGGGGATGTTCGGTAATGTCAAGGTATTTTTTATTACACCTGAGGGGCTGCTATTATCTCATTCGTAAAGGTCAGGGATGCTGTTAAACAGCTTACAGTGCACAGGACAGTCCCTCACAACAAAAACTAAATGGTCCAAGACGTTAATAGTGCCGACATTAGAAACCCTGGCCTAGGGTGTCCGCATGGGGCACTCACAGGACTTTTTCAGGGAATGTAGATGAGACCCAACAATGATATTTGTAGCAAATAGCTCATTTACAAGTGATATTCCAGGCTAGAAGAAAAACTAATAGTAGCTGTTTCTTGTCTAACTCTGAATAAGTATAAAATATGCAGTATGCAGAGTAGGCCATTATTCTTCCTAAACAAGGTCCATTAGAGAAAAGGGCAAATGGCGATCTATATGATTTTGCTGTCTGGTTCTAACTGGAACAGGAGTTTTGAGTTCCAAAATGCAGATGCTGTGAAGTGACCTTGCTTGAGTCAGTAGAAGGTGATTCCACTGGCACCCTGGGCATAGGTGAGAAAGAGATGGAGTGTAAAAAGGGCTCAGAGAGCTTTGGCTTTAGTGAGTCATCGAAGCAGAAAATGTACTGTGGTTGTATTTTCATGAACTTTTCAAACTCTGAAAAGAATCCATTTTTAAAATTTTGCTTTAGGAAATGGTTGGGAAGGAGTGCTTTTCAACAAAGGAAAATTGCCTTTTATGCTAAATAACAGCGTCTTAGCTTGAAAATAATCTCTTTTTTTTTTGAGGCAGGGTCTCACTATGTTGCCCAGACTAGAGTGTAGTGGCTATTCACAGGCACGATCCCACTACTGATCAGCGCAGTTTTGACCTGCTCCATTTCCAGCCTGGGCTGGTTCACCCCTCCTTAGGTAACCTGGTGGTCCCCTGCTCGTGGGAGGTCACCATATTGATGCCAAACTTTGTGCGAACACCTGATCAGCATAGCACACTACGGCCCAGAACTCCTGGGCTCAAGCAATCCTCCAGCCTCGGCCTCCCGAGTAGCTGGGACTACAGGCACGCGCCACCACACTGGGCAAAAATAACCACTTATTTCCTATTGATTTGGCTGATAGTGCATACTGCCTTGAGGATGTTATCACCTGTGTGCTCACAGGGAAATCCAAACAAACGATGGTGGCCACACTGCTGAGGTTGTGGCAGTAACCACCAGAATCTTTTGTTTAAAACAAAATCATTGCCTGGGCTATGTGTTTGTTATGTATGAAAGATATTCCAGATCTGAGCTGGACATGTTCAGAAAACAAGAAGTTTATTCTTGTAAAAAGCACCTGAAAATAAATTTCATTATGGATTTTAAATGCTGGATCAAGGACTATGGTGAAGATTTATAAAAGGGGCATTATAACCTCTGATGGACCCAGTGATAGGAGACTTGGTTTTTTGTTTGTTTGTTTGTTTGTTTCCCATGATGCTTCATCTCTGCAGAGTTCAAACTTCTAATCCTTAAAACACCCTCCAAAGAGAATATGCCTACAATAGTAGGTAGAATAGACCATGAATGCCCATTACAAATGTCCTCCATTGATAGCATGCTGGGCCACTGCTGGGGGTGGGTGTTTCCCAGGCTCTGGCTCATTAGCAGTCATGCTCCCACTGTGCGTGTGTGTGTGTGTGAGAGAGAGAGAGAGATGAGTCTCATTCTGTTTCCCAGGCTAGAGTGCAGTGGAACAATCTCAGCTCACTGCAACCTCAGTCTCCTGAGTTCAAGTGATTTTCTTGCCTCAGCCTCCCGAGTGGCTGGGATTACAGGTATGTACCACCATGCCTGGCTAATTTTGGTATTTTCAGTAGAGGCTGGATTTCACCTTGCGAGGCTGGTCTCAAACTCTTAACCTCAAGTGATCTGCCCGCCTTGGCCTCCAAAAGTGCTGGGATTATAGACATAAGCCACTGCACCTGGCCTTGCCTTCACCTTAATCACAAAAATAATATGTCATGTGGAGACCAGGAAGGTAGAGAAAAAGAGAGTGCTAGGTAAATGGTGGAGGTTGCAACTGAAAATAGGGTCGTTAGGGGAAGGCCTTCCTGAGAAAATGATATTTTAACAAAAACCCATATGAGTAAGATTGAAAACCATGGAATCACCTGGAGAAAAAGCATGTCCAGCAAAGGAAATAGCACAGAGGCCTTGAGATAAAAGGCTGAATGCCTGAGGAGTAGCAAGGAGGCCAGTATGGCTGGAGCCAAATGTATAAGATGGAGAGAAGTGGGAAATGAAGTCAGAGAGAAGGGGTAGAGTAGGGATGGATTGTGTAAACCTTCTTAGCACATCAGTAAAGATACTGGCTTTTACTCTAAGATAAGAACTTACTCGAAGGCTTTGAGCATGGGTGGCATGATCGGACTTAACATTTTTAGAGGATTACTCTACTGTAGCTGTGACATGGAGAATAAGCTAGGAGGGCAAAGAGGAAGCAAGAAGGTCGATTAGGATGCTACTGCAATAAACCAGGAGAGAAATGATTGACTTGGACAAGGGTAGTAACCGTGAATGTGGGCAGAAGGTATCAGACTGATATATTTTGAAGGTCAAGCCAGCAGTACTTGCTAGCCAGCTGATTTGCTGATGATAAAACTTTTTTATCAAAACAGCAAGAATATGTATTTGCCATTTTTACTGAGGTAGAAAAGCCTAGGGGAGAAGCAGTTTGCAAAGGGAGATCAGGGGTTTGTTTTGGGACATGTTACATTTGATTTAGGGTATTTTAAAGACTCGTATTGGACATCCACATGGAGATTTTAATGGGCACTGGACATATGAATTTGGAGATAAGAGATGATGTACAGCCTGCAGATTGACTATAAAAATCATCAGTTTGCTCATGGGATTTAAATCCCTGAGGCTGCATTAAAGCAGCATGCATTTCCGGTTTTAGTGGGAACAGACTGAGCCATGAAGTAGAGCTGTGTCTGTTGGTGTATGGAGAAATCTCCCCGTGAATCAAGCCTCAGAAGCCCTGCTCCACCATCTGTGAAAACATTGCCAGTAACCCCTAGAGAAGTATCCAGAAGAACTGCTCATATTAAAGGAACTGGGTGTGAGCAAAACTGTATATATGGCTCTGGTAAATTTCCAAGACATACAATATAAGATCAAAGAGGAAATAATGATCTGGAATTATGCAAGCGACCAAGAATTCATGAGTCAGGAGTGTGTTAAAAAAGCATTGTAGAGATATAGAAAATCATCCAGGGGCTGGGTGTGGTGGCTCACGCCTATAATCCCAGCACTTTGGGAGGCCGAGGCGGGTGGATCACGAGATCAAAAGATCAAGACCATCCTGGTCAACATGGTGAAACCTGTCTCTACTAAAAATACAAAAAATTAGCTGGGCATGGTGGTGCGTGCCTGTAGTCCCAGCTATTCGGGAGGCTGAAGCAGGAGAATTGCTTGAACCCAGGAGGCGGAGGTTGCGGTGAGCCAAGATCGTGCCATTGCACTCCAGTCTGGGTAACAACAGTGAAATTTTGTCTCAAAAAAAAGAGATCGAGACCATTCTGGCCAACATGGTTAAACCCCATCTTTACTAAAAATACAAAAATTATGGCACGTGCCTATAGTTCCCAGCTACTCAGGGGGCTGAGGCAGGAGAATCACTTGAATCAGGGAAGTTGGATGCTGCAGTGAGCCGAGATACACCACTGCACTCCAGCCTGGGAAAGAGCGAGACTCTCTCTCAAAAAGAAAAAAAGATAATCATCCAGAATGAGCAGTATAATTAAGAAGAGAGAGAAAATATGGTCACAGGACCTCATCAGACCTTCGTTGATTTGCTCAGAAGACAGGAAAAAAGAAACTGAAGGAAAGCTGCCACCAACTTTCCCCCCTCCACTGTGCCTAAATGGGGAAAGAAGAAGATGTAAACAACAGAGCAGGGTTCAGGTAGGGTGACTAGTCCTCACTGGTTCCCAGGACTGAGGGGTTTTCTGGGACACAGGACTTTCAGTGCTGAAATCAGGGCAGTCCTGGGCAAACCAAGATAGTTGGCTGCCCTGGCTTCAGGCCAGAAGGAAGGCTTCCTGGAACTGAACAATTTGGCAGTGAAAGAGAAAACAACTTATTTACTATTTAATTTGAGTCTGATAGATAAAATTAAAATCTGTAAGTGATGATTTCCCACCCTGAGTGCTCACATGCTTAACCCTTTAATTTCTGGAAGGATTTCAGAATCCCTCTTAGCAAGTAGTGATTTCTGATAGGACCGTTCAGTACCCTCCCTATGGTCTGGAGGGTTTGGAGGGGAAATGTAAGATCAAAAGGAGTGGATATGACACACAAAGGGTATCACAATGACTCAGGACAGGCCGCAGTAGTCTTTTGAGGCCAAAGGACCATCTCGCAGACAAGCAGGGCCAGGTCCTGGAGGTCTCTATTGAGAACCTTATGGGGATGTTTTCTGTGGCCACATGCGGGAAACTGAAGTGCCAGGGCCTCCCTGTCTACACGCTGCCATTGTAAACAGTCTGTGCACCTTAACATATGTTGATCTTGCTCTCTGCTGAGCCGCTGTGTGAGCGCTTGCCTCTGTCTGGAATTTAGTTTCTATCCAAGCAGTGCACACATGCGTACGCACGTGTACACACACACGCTCCAGAGCTCAGCCAAGACATCATTTGTGGTACTTTTCCAGTGGTCACCTAAGCTCGCTCTTGAATTTTAGGAGGCTTGTCACAATGTGGTGTCATTGCCTCTACTGGCCTGTCTTCCCCCAATCAGTTAGGGCAGCAGTTAGGTTTTGTTCACCTTTAAGTCCCACAATATAATCCACTGCTGGGTACAGGGTAAAGGTGCAATAATCCTTTGGATGACAGATAGGAAATCCTACTTTTGTTAGATAGTCTTTGCTACATATATAATCACTTTTTCCAAACAACTGTTAGTTCCTGGGTATGAGTCAAATCCATAACATATCGTGTTATTTAGATTGAGGATCTTTAATAGAGAGCAAGGAACTAAGAGAAAGATAAGGTACTGAGCACAATCACTGAATATGACAGGTTCTGCTCTGGTCTATTTTTCTTTTTGTTTTTCTTTTCTTTCTCTCTTCATTTTTTTTTTTAAGAGACAGTCTCTCTCTGTTGCCCTGGCTGGAGTGCAGTGGCACAATCATGGTTCACTACAGCCTCGAATATCTGGACTCAAGTGATTCTTCCACCTTGGCCTCCCAAAGTACAGGGATTACAGGCTTGCACCACCGCACCCAGCTATCCTTTTTCTTTTCAAGCAATAATTTTAATTCCTTCCCTTTACCTCCCAGTTTCTGTCCTTAAACTCTCACATCCTCTAGGGCTTGGCTATAAAAGTTAATGAGGTGGCAGTTGCAAACATTAGCAAGACCCTTTTGGCAGTTCACCAAAAGCCAGAGAGCCCATCTTGAAAAGAACATCATCACCCCTGCCGTCGTGAGTGGTAAAGCCCGACTCAGGAACACAAAGCAAAGGACAGCATAGCTCACACAGGAACTTTTGCCACTTTTGTATTTTATTGTGGAACTGAGTTTTGTTTTGTTTTGTTTTTTTTCCTTTACATCAAATATCCTCAATGGAAGAGGGGATATTGCACACAAATATCATAAAAGCACTACATATTACTTTCACTGGAAACTAATTTTCTACATTAGATATGACTGGATAGGATAGAAGTGATGCAGGATTATAAGACATAATACCATACACAGCTGCAGACTGACACAAACACCATTCAGAACAAGAGAGAGGAGTGTGAAGTGCTTCTCGGCCGGGCTCAAGACCACTTCTTCCCAGTGCTGGAAAGAGGCTGCATGCAGTGCAGGAAAAGCATGTCTCTGAACTGCCACAGGGTGTTCTCGTAAGGGCAGCCCGGTCTCGATGCCACTTCTCCGTGGCTCCCATTTTGGGGAGCTCCAAACAAGTGCAGAGAAGCTGCTTATTTTTTCCCTTCCTTTTCAGTTTTTGATGCTGCCTTTAAAAATTAACTTCATGAAGTCACAGATTTTTTTAACAGTAAATAGTTTGAATACCAGGTGAATAACCTAATTGCTTTCAAAGAAATGCTCATCCCTAGGCTGCTTTTGGTGTATTGTTCAGTTGGTTAAAAGATAAAAGCTTAACAGTTCCTTTCAAATGGAAACAGGATCTTTTCTTCTAAATCCGAAGCGCAAAAAAAAAAAAGTTATTATCCTAACTCACAATATCATTACTGAGCAGGAACCTCCTGTGACAGGTGACTACAAGAGAGGCAAGAAAAGCAATTTCAAAATTGTAGCAGCTCCTAAGAGCTGAAATTTGGTAACAGAGGGAAAATGAAAGGTGGTAAGATTTCCATTAGCAAATGATTAAATCTTAATTAAATGAGTATTTGGAAAGCTCCTAGACTGTACGCTATTGGAGACACTTAAAACATTCATATACACTGGGGAACCATTCACTATGATATGCAACATTAAGAAAAAAATTTTTTTGAACTCCATGGAAAATGGTGTTTAAGGGGGGAAGGGGAAGTTAGTCATTGTATCCAGTCCCACCACAAGACTGAGAAAGCATGCACAGGGCTTGGGGTTTTGAGAAAGGGGACAGAATTGGTTAAAATTGAAAATGGAGGATCATCTCTAACATTTAGTCTCTGTAGAATTTTATTTAAGAATATTACCAAAAAGGTCATGATCATGAGTGCTATCTTGATAGAATCTCATCATTTAAACAGAGTATAAACTCCTTCCACTCAAATCTTCAATCTATACAACTGGATTAAGTAATCAGTATGAACAAAGCTCCTAGAAGTCTGTGTCGATCTTTTGCTCTCACCATGAAGGTGCATTGTGATGGCTGTAACCAAACTAATCGTGTATTTATGGAACTAGCAAAATTAGGTTAGTCACACAGGCAGGAAAGGTGTCTGGAAGGACAGGAGCAAGCTGTAATGCAAATATTGGTTTTCTTGGTATACTCAGGCTCTGTGGTTATCAGTGAGAACAATGGATGGAGAAAGGTACTGATAGATTTCATAGGAAAAAGAGCCAGCTGACTAGTGACAGTTTTTATATATTTTTTCCCATTAAATCCCATAGCAAAAAAAAAAAAAAAAAAAAAGAGTGAGATAGAGAGAAAGAAAGGGAGGAGGGTGGATTGGTTGTAACTGAAGACTGGCTATAATTCTCCTAAAATGTTTATAGTTTTTAAAGTAAAATAATATACATGTTAAATACATTTAATTTGGGAAATTGGAAAATAACTTCATCTTCTGTCAAAGAAAAATCAACCAGAGGTCTGGATTTGGCAAGAGGCTAAATATCTGCTTTTCTTCCCATGCATTATGTAGACCGACTCAATTTAAAAGCTAACCATTAAATAATTATCTTGAGTATCTCAGGTTTTCTTATACAATAGGTTTGAAATAGATGAGTTGATACTCAGTGAAATTCATTTGCGTCACAATGACTTCCATCATGTGTTAATTTTTTGTACCCTTAATACGTTATTTTTCAAGGACTTGAAAGAAGTGGGGTAATAAATAAAAGCTGCATTTCTAGAGAAGCCTAACAAAAATAGAATATTAATTTTCTTTAAAAAATTAAACATTTGAAAAATGTAATTCACAGCATTAAGTAGACTGCACAGGTCCTCAGTGAAAGGACCCTGAAGAAGCATTTTTTAAAACCCTCATCGTAGTTAGCAGTGCAAAACACACACTTATCCGACAAAAATAAACTAAAATGTTAATTTTGAAATAAATAACTAACATAGAGAATAAAATGAGGTCATTGTTCTCTACTCCGTAGATCTTAAGAGTCTGTAAGAAATGTAACGTGACAGAGCACAGCACAGTTGTCACAGAGAAGTTTGCCGCATCTGAACACTGGGTGCATTGATCTGCAACTTGAACTTGATGTCAGTTTTAATCATGATCTGGCTTCCCAGGTTCACAGTTCAATGATGACAATGATGGAAATTTTCTCTAAACTCTACATGAACCGTAGGAGTTGAGAATTCATTTGTTTTCAATGTAATTTTCTTTCTTTTATTTTTTTTCCAGAAAAGAAAATCCCAAAGCAAATTTGTGCTAGCTTTGAACTTGGCTCTTTTACCTCATGGTTGAAGATCTTGAAAGAAGTATGTAGGATACCACTGGGTGATGTACTCGTCAAGGCCCTGAAAAGTAGCCTACCATGCCATTCTCCCCACTCTCAAGAAGCACATATTCAGATTTTTATGTTATGGGAATCAAGGGGTGGGAGGTATCAATATTCCTGGTAGTTACGGGTTTTTAATAAATATCATCACTGCAATATCAGACTTCAATCTTGCTAGAACTTCAAAAAACATTATTCAATTTTTGTCTTACAAAACACTTAAAAAAAAAGGACTATCACTTGAGAATTTTCTTTGCAATTTCCTGTAAATGAAAATATTTGTTAAAAAGTTCATCTATGAAAAGTTCTCACATATCTTAAAAAAAAATTCTTCTGTACACTTGTTCCCATAATTATCTTGAAATTAATGGAAAATTTAAAAAGCCAATGTAAGACAAAGGAAGGTAAATACTGTACACTTGCTGAGAACCTCTTCCACCATAAGATTCACTGTTTTCCCAGTTCTGATCATAGAAGCCATTTCAGTCTTGAACTTGCAGTAGTAAAGAAGCTGTGAAAGGCACAACCTGTTTGACTGAGAGGCCACAGGTGCACGGAAGTGGGATTCAACATGCATGACTCAGCATCAAACTGTTGGACCAATCAGATCAGCTTCTAGACCCCCACACACGCTCACCCACGTGCTCCTTTACGTATCTATAATCCTATATGGATGTTTTATAAACTTGCTGTCTCACATTAAAAAATAAGTGCATCAAGTATCTTTGTACATTCAAGTCACTTCCTAAGGCAAATTGTCTACCGTATGTACTCCCAACTGCTTTGGTATTTGCTTCAGTTAATTGGGGTGGACTTGGGTGTTGCTGCATGCAGGTGAATCGACTCAGAGTGGACTACGTGGGTGGACAAATGCTGGGAGCATGCCTTAGATAAATCTACTTGTGTGTTTAGAGTCTGAGAGTTCTGAATGGGGCCCAAACCACTTGCATGGCCGGTCTATACTCACTACATTATGTCAGTGTGCAGGCTTCAAACTGAAGGAGCCTAATTCAGATGTGAAAATATCACATGCCCTCATAACAAATTTTGTTCTTTTTACTTTCTTCTAGACAACTTGTTTTAGAAAATTAAGACTCTTTGATGACTCAGACTGACAAAAAACAGAAAACTTTGCCTATGTAGACTGAAGAATGCCTACTGCCTGAGAAAATGCAGACCTAATAGTTGGTTATTTTCTCCTCCTTACCCCACCCTGCTCTCTCTTTTTCTCTCTGGGTATCTCACCAGAACTCTCTGTCATTACATCTCCTTCTCTTGCATTCCTTTTCTTTCTCATTCTCTCTCTCTCCTGCGTTCTCTTTGTGCTCTCACTCTCTCTCACTCTCTCCCGCGCTCTCTCTCTCTCTAAGACAAATGCCTCTACCTAGCAGAAGTCAGTTGGGTTGGCTAGTGCATGGTTTCCAAATGTTCAGCAGAGATGAACTGGGGTAGGTAATTTCGCAGGAACTTGAACCCTATTGTGGGAATACTGTTACTTCCCTTAGCAATCAGCAAAAACTGAGAAATTTAGTGACTTGCATCACCATGACACAGTATAGCATTTGGCAGGTAATTGTTCAGCGACTTAACTAGATGAATTGACTTTTTAGAAAAGGTGATTTCAAATTGAAGAATTTCTGGAAACAAAGTTCAGATCCTGTGGTGTGGCTGGCCTTGGTTTTTACAGTTCAATCTTGCATGCAGGGAAGGATTCATCTTGCATAACCACTGTGCTGCTGCTTGCTAAAACCATGATGTTGAGGTCTTGCTGTTTCTCATGGGTCTCCTGGTACCATTCCCTCATCACTTCTGAGTCATGAGTTGGTATCAGTGTCACCTGTGGGTAGAGAATAAAATAGCTATTTAAGGGCAGAAACAGAAACCATATGAAAAAAATGGAATAGCAAGGTATTAGATCACTGGAAGAAGAAGGGAAATGAGAGAAAAGTTTTCTATTTTCCTCAAGAAATGCAAAGGACTTTTCAACATATATTTTCCAGGAGCCAGATAAAGCTGCAAAGAAAAGCTATTGTTTCTAAGGGAAGTTGAAGCCTAGAACCAAAAGCAACTAATCACTTGTCAATTAGTTCACCTAGATCCACTGTCAGTTTCTCAGTTCTTTACCGTTCAGAAAACTGCTTCTGTTAGGGTACAATTTCTTGTATTTCCTTTAACACAACTGGTAAGTTTTGAATAAAAGGTACTGCATATTTCATCCAAAGAGTTTTATCAAGCACTTTAAAGCCCTCAAAAGCCCACTCATTGTGTGTAACATTTTGTCCTGAGAACAGATCTGAACCTTTACTTTATGTATGTGGTTGGGGATAGAGATATGGGGTGGGTAGGTAATGTCCTGAATAGTATAAATTCCATCTAGTATTCAGTAAGAAGCCACTGGGTGGGTGCCTCTCATTAGATTTCATGTGATTAAATAACAAGTAATTCTGTACAATATCAAGCACAGTTTACTAGGTAATTCTGTACAGAACCACAAATAAAACTTAATAAGCAAAGATCACAGCTGAATTAATAATGGCTAGTTCTAAGAATCATTTAAGCCCAGGAGTTCGAGACCAGTCCAGGCAAAATAGGGAGACCTTGTTTCTAAATGAATAAGGAATGGTCTGTGGTCAGGCGCGATGTCTGGGAGTTGGGAGTGTCCTGTAAGTAAGGGACTCTATTCAGCAATGCTCCTACTGTGGAATTTCACATGGACAGCTTGTTTTCCAAATGGCTATATTCCTCGCTGCAGTCTACTCATAAAACACAAAGGAAGAAAGGCAATTCCTCAGCAGCTCTCATATGGAAATATGACTGCTTTGATTCACACACACAATACTTTCGGCACACTGGAGGGACAATTAATCTTGGGCCCATTTTGCGAATAAACAATTTCTGCTTTAGTTAAGGTGGCTTTCCTCCAAAGCTATGGTTGGTGGTGGTGCCAAAAATATTATTTCAGACTACCTACTGTGTGTTAAACTGACTTTGTTCTCAGGATATTTCATGTGTGGCAGACACAGGAGACACATCCTGTGGATCCACAACCATCTACATGAGGTGCCTCTTTAAACATGATTCTGTCCCATTGCCTCTGGACACAGCTCGATCTGTGGTGCAGACACTGTTGAGGGGCTCTCACCTGCATGTTGCTGCCCCACTGGGCCTTTCCTTCCAACAAGGCGTCCAGGACAGCCCGGCTGGGCTCCTCAGCAGCAGGGTCATTCCCACTCACCACGTAGTAGGACGACCGCACTCTCTTGAAAAATTCCACATCAACGTTCTTACTATTGCTGTGGTTAGGAATGTAGCACAGGTCCAAATACACAGGGAGGCCCGGAGGCACCGCGGAGGACTTGGTCGTTTTGGTGGTTCCTGGTCCTTGGATAAATACACAAAGACAAAGCAAGGTCATAGCAAGGTGAAGAGACCATACATCCAGCACACCTTCCCTTTTCTATCATACCTTCCCTATTAAATCACAAGCAGGTGCTCTGGGACATGCAAAGAGATGACAGCATTTCCATCTTCCTGGTAATCTGTCAAGGGCATTTATACTAGCAATGTGAGAAAACATAACAAGGTTGTTTACCATCTCAATAGGAAAAATGAAGAATGGGATGGTTTCCCTTGTGGACAACCACCGTTAGGAAGCCTGAAGGCGTTTGCCAAGAAGGCACTAGATGTAATGTCCCTCCTAAAGAAGTTGCTAATGTGCTTTTTTATTTGATAAGTGATCTAAGAAGTAGATTTTAACAGTCAAAAGAAAACTTCTGAATTTGGCAAAACATTGCTAAGTGATCTGAGTAATCCACTTTAGGGTCTCGTTTGATAGCAGTTTTGTCCACAGCTGGATATTATGCCCTAACATTCTACCTAGTAAATAGTTTTGATCTTAACCCCATATAATTTCCAAGGCCCTCAGCACCTCAATCTCATTCGTAAAAACTGATGAAACAC